ACTCTGGTTGCTACAGACCTTTCTTTTAATTCCTTTACGTTCCCAGTGGCTAGAGGCTTGAAGTTTATGTAGCAGTGTTTATTTTTACAGGATGGGGTTGCTAGCCTCATGTTCAAACTTTCCTCTTCACCAGTCTTATTTCTGGCTTAGCGAGGTAAAGGAGTGCGTCAACCGGGAATAGAACCTCGGACCATATGCATAGTCGGCGAGCACTTTACTGCTGTGCTACCGACGCACACCTGTGGCCTAATGCATCATTATTGTTTTGTTTTTACTCGTATCCCAGTAGCGCTCTTTCAAACTGGTGGGTGGTATCGTCACTCTTTGGTTTCAGAAGGTAAGGTTGGCTCTTATTTAGCTTTGATTCCCGTCAATTACAATTTGCAGTCACGACTTTTCCAAATTATCATTCAGATGATGCCTTATTATCACCTAGCACTTATTCCGTTTGATCTTGTTACTGTTCGTAAATGATTGTCTGTTCGGTAATCTTTACTACCTATTGGATCCATTCACAAGTTCGTGCCTTATAGGTCTACAAAAGACTAGATATTGCTGTCTTCATTCTATATTCTTGGTGGGTGTTAGTGCATTACAAGAGATTCATGTATCTTCCGGTTTGGTTGTTGTGTGCAGTCTTACATTATTAGATAGATCATTACATATTCTGACTAAGTCTGGGTTTGAGGTGCTGAGTCTAACTTTGTTAAATCTCATCTTTCCTAATTTTTGGTGTGAACAGTAGTTGCTTGGGTTAGCTCCGATGAACCGTGTTTAGTGTATGTGGCGAAAATCCAAAATCTGTGTATTTCTCATCCTCCTATTGTTATTTATAATGTATATTAGTTATAGAAATTCGATAAATCCTCAGGCGTAGGTATCGAGTTTCGGATTGAGATCAAAATTCGTATGACCTTGTTCGACTTCAGGCTTTTCCATATACCTCGCATGTAGTGTGTATAGGTCTTGGATCTGAACTGACATCACTCGCACATAGAAAATATCTTAACTTATTTCATGTGATTGTGACTGTTAAATTCAAAGTGTTCATCGCTATGGAAAAGTTTATTTTTCTTTTAAACTGCTCACATGAATGTGATAAAATTTCAGCACTAGGACTATTAGTATTTATTCATTACTTTGAATAAATGTTTTTGTACTAGTACACAGCAATTATGCAGGTGTAAATCATTTATAGATGCGGTCATACTTTATTGTTTATCAGGAATTAGACGACTACCAAAATACGGCTAGTGGTTGACTGTAATGGATAAGATTTTATTTTGATAAATCACACAGTGTAGTACAGTTATATTAACTGATGACGTTTCGAGCACAAACTATTGCTCATAATCATATCATATGATTATGAGCAATAGTTTGTGCTCGAAACGTCATCAGTTAATATAACTGTACTACACTGTGTGATTTATCAAAATAAAATCTTATCCATTATGGAATTATACTCTACCACAGTGCCCAAGTTTTATACTTATAGTGGTTGACTGCATTTTCCAAATGAATGCTCAACAACTCGGTGTGTAGTGATTTCGTGTCAGTTGATATCACTTTTCTCAAAATATCTGTCTGTCTTCATAAGTCTATCTTTTTATGCTGTAGCATGCGTTGGTGGTACAGCGGTTAGGACGCTCGCCGACTATGCATATGGTCCGATGTTCTATTCCCGGTTGACGCACTCCTTTACCTCGCTAAGCCAGAAATAAGACTGGTGAAGAGGAAAGTTTGAACATGAGGCTAGCAACCCCATCCTGTAAAAATAAACACTGCTACATAAACTTCAAGCCTCTAGCCACTGGGAACGTAAAGGAATTAAAAGAAAGGTCTGTAGCAACCAGAGTAGATGTGTCGTCTTAGGAGATTATGAGAAAATTCACTCTTAGCTATACAACGTTATGTTAGTATCAGATATCCGCCTTGTCCACACTGTAGTTAGCATAGAACTCCAATTTAAAACAAGTCGGCTATCTAAATGTGAGAATTTACTGATCCTCAGTGCGTCTCTACTTTTATAGGTCTTGATTGATGTAAATATATCAGATGTGATTGGTGTACTTATGGTCCTTCGGGTGTCTGATTTTTATATTAAAATTTTGGGTCAATTTTATAATTTTCATCCAACTGATAATTTTCAAAACTTTCTGTACTGTGGTTGTTTTTGTACATGACGGTGTTATGCCGAAGTTGTGTTAATACCATGATTATTGTACCAGTCTCCTGATTAACACAACTGACTATCTTCTCGCTTAGTACGATTTGTGTTTCGAATACTTCTTAATAAAGTAAGGTTAATTTTGAAACTATGAGTTGCACTTTTTAATGTGTTCGTTCCTTCTTACTACTAATAAATGAAATAGTGATCTCACGTAACATAAAATTCCTTATAAATGCTACTCGGATAGATAAAATATTGTCTCAAATAGACGTAATGATCAATTCCTGTACTAAGAGTTATCTACTCATGAAAAGTAATCAATTTTCTCAGCGAACTAGTAGATCAAATTATGCACTTCAGTTTGATACATGTAGTAAGAAGTATTAGTTGCTAATATTATTTATGGAACATATTTTTTGCTTGCTTGCAAAAAACGTTAACTTATCTTTTATAATTTTTATGATATCTTTCCGAAATAATTATGGTCGTCAAGTATTTCGCGTGATATTCTCAGTGTTCGGGTAAAATGTCTCATTTTAAAAATAGTTGTTGCAGTTAAATTTGAAAACTCAGCAGCGGGCTACACACTTAGTCACTGCTTGATGACATACTATCTAGTAGCCAGGCCAGAGGTATGTGGAGGGTGATTAGACGACTGAAAGTTTAGTACTAAAGGTTACAAGGTACTCCACCATATTGCAAATTTCAAGTCGTTATTATAGAAACATCTGAATTTTCCTGTTTTCCCTCAAAGACCTCACGTAATTGGTGATGTGAAAGATATAAGTGGATTCTTATTTCCCTTTGTACTAGTCTGAAGCAGATTGCAAACCAAATTATAGGATTTAGAATTTAACACTGCGGTTGTATTTTTGCTGTTTTGATGACATTCCGTCATTCAAAAGCCGAATGCTTCTACATCCTCTAGATATTGAGTGTAACAATACCCCTTGGCTGTCCGAAACACTCATTTGGAATGTGGTTCGTTGACTGATTGATTGATTGCTAGTCAACTACCGACACAGTCTTAAGTGAACCCCTAGAAACGCATGCAGATCAGTTAATTTTCTGTAATTTTTCGTGGAGTAACTTATACCAGTTTTACACAATACTCTGACTAACTGATAGCAACAATGTTCTCAGTGTCATCAAATAAGTTTTTTCAACATCAAAAATGTTTCTTTCAGTATATTTATGGGAATAGTTGTCCAATAAAATAAAACATGCATCAATTTTAAAATTTAGATTATTATGTATCCTGTACTGGATTACTATTTATGGTGTTTATTTGATAACACTCGCTCTTGTTACGAACATGGTTATGTAGTCTTCGTTATGCGTATATTCGAATTGGTTCAACAGTAATCCTGGTCGCACTGAGCAACAGATGTGTTTTCATTATTCGTGAATTCCGAAACCTTTTTAATTTGTCATTTTTTTGGAACTATATGACGTAGGTCTGCATTCATGAGAAATGCTCATTCTGTTTTGCAAAGCTAACTTTCTTACATCTTTTACAACTCGATCGGATAATGTCGTCGACTTACCGAGTACATTTATTCATTCCTCCTAACTATATATATATATATATATATATATATATATATAGTCACCTTTTTGTCTGGCTTAAATTGGTGCTTAATTGTCGAGTTGTGTGCCCATTTGTGTATATGCCTATACTGACTTGAAATCTTCGGTATACATAAAATAGATGACTACTATGAAGATAAGTTTGGTAACTCTGAGTAACTCATCCTATAGTGTTTTCTTTCAGTTGGCATTTAAAACTAAATTTGTCTTCAAAAATAACGAAGTATTTTTTTCTTTTAGTAATATTCATAGTACATTTATTCATATACGCTGTTATTAATCATATAGCATTTGACCTTAAATGGCGGTTGCTATTTTTAGCAGTCTATAGGTAAAAATCGACTAAACATTTAAAAATTGATGTGATAGGATTTTTGTGTGCTGTTCTGTTAAGGTTATCGCAAATCGAAATATATGTTCAATAAACTACAGTAGATATTTACCGAAGTTTGGTTTTGATATTTGACAATTCACTTTAAGCGAGCACAATAATCTTTCACGAGGTGATTTTGTGCAGTATGTGTTTTGTTAGGCGACAAGAAAGTCTGTAATAACATTCGATGTGAAGTTGAATAGTTGCATAGTATATCACCATACCTCATTAATTTTGAGCGTCATACAGATTATTTATAATCAGGTTTATGCTTTTGGAAATCCAAACTTTTACAACGGTCATATTTGGTGCCAGTAATAAATGTATTATTTATCAATAAAACACAAATCTGGTACATTATAGATACCAAAAGACGCGCAGCACAAAGTCTCATAGTTTGTGCGAGGTTCGCAATACTGCTCGACCACCCAGACCAAAGCAAGTAGTTGTCTTAAGGTGTCACTCCGAACCTTTAACTCGAAGTATGATCTGCAAGATAGTGGAGTTACGTTCTTGGTGGTCGAGACCGGTTCGTATGCCATTTAATTCGTCCAGATTCTGGAGCCCATGTACACCACGGGATTGAAATCATGATTTTCCAGTTTCCCTAGGTTGGCCAGTACCTTTGCCAGTCCTATTGATATAAGTATAAAACTTGGGCACTGTGGTAGAGTATAATTCCATAATGGATAGGATTTTATTTTGATAAATCACACAGTGTAGTACAGTTATATTAACTGATGACGTTTCGAGCACAAACTATTGCTCATAATCATATCAAGTTGCCAGTCCTGTTGTAAGCTCCAGAGGTTCGTATTCTCGCTTTCACTTGTATAAAATAGACCCGCCGCATTAAACAAGTGGAACATACCTGGCAAAGCATTTCTAGAGGAAGACCGAAGTCTGTACACTCTCGGTCGTACCATTTCGATTTAGTAAACACACGGTTAATGTTATTTGCTGATGTAAGTAGTGCATCACTGTGCGGAGTAATTTCAATTCCTGCTTGATATATCGACGTTACCTTCATACTAATTCCATTTTTCACTTAGCTGAATAGGGTTTCCTGCTGCTTACTTATTCATCAGCTCCGTAATGTACTTTTTGACTGTTAAACTTTCTTCACACACCATACACAACAAAGGCAGGAGACCTGGAAACAGACGAATTTCTACATGACAGTTTCCAATTAAGTCAGTGTCGTACCACAGTTTCCTGCCGTTCCCTTATAGGAACCTCGGAATTAAGATGTCAACACAGCTAGTCAGTCGCGCATGGATTATGAGGTAAATTTCTGTATCTCTGCCATGTTTTTTTTTAAACTCCCGGCTTGTTTGTGTAATTCATATTTTGTAAATTGTGTGGCATTTCTTTTTTCTGTAACTGGTACATAAGGGAACTCTCTAGTGTGGTTGGTTCTTAGTTGCGAGGCACATACTTTTAGTGTAAAGGAAATTGAAGGTAATCTCTAGTTCATAATTTCTTGAAAATGCAAATATATAAAACAAAATGGCACTGAGACAAACTGCGGTGCTGGATTGAGGCTAATTTTAGCTACAGATTTGATATAGATGTTAATTTTTTGGAAGTAAATGTTGAACACTTATTTTACTTGAAGAGTTTACCTCATCATGATGAACAGAGGGACCGAAGCCTCTGATACGACTCAATATGTGGTTGTTAATGCATAGAGCACCGGTTTAGTAAGGCATACATCGTTTTATGTATCACCTTTGAAGGAAACAATAGCATGCGCTTAATTTGAGGAATACAGAACCAGCTGTTATTTCATGCATTGTCAGGCTACTTAGGATAGTTACTGAGACTATAATTTCAAGCAGTTGATAATTTCAGTTATTTCGGACTCATTATCACTTTTACTCCTTTGTACGAAATTAGTTTTTGAAGTGTTATACGATTCATTTTGTAGTAAAGCACAAATACTTGGTATTCATTTGTCGGCCCCATTAAGTTTAGTGAAATGATGTAGGTCGGTCGGTTTTCGACATAGAACTTTGCACATATGTGCGGCAGTTCAAGTCGCCACAATCCAAGTAGCACGCAAAGCAAGAGAAGAAAGTAGGAGAAATGCATAATATAGACAGTAAACAGAGGTGTGAGACAGGGATAGTAATAACGGAGAACAAAACAGTTAAATTGGAAATCATAAGTCACAAGTAGTGGATGCATCTGCGCCACTGAGAACGATTTTGAGCCATGTCACCAATTGTTTCCAACCATTGGTTTTTACCGTCCCGAGGATCCCAACCAGGAAGTCTACACCCTCTTACGTGGCTTAGACTAACTGTTGTGGATTTCATTGACCAACGCCATGTTTTCATTTGACCGCCGCTAGCTCTTTTCCAGCCTGGTCCTATATCAGCTAACATTGCCCGTCGAGGGTGGCGATGACTAGGCATACGTAGCACATGTCCTAACCATCTCAGTCGAAGTAATTTCGCCGTTTCGTCGACTGATTTCCCCTCCTTACCTAGCACTCGACACCTAACCTCAATATTGCTCACCTTATCATACCACTTCACACAGGAGATAGAACGCAGGCACCTATGATCGAAGACAGCTAATCTTCTCATGTCTTCTGCTCTCAATGGCCAGGTCTCACACCCATAAAGGAGGACGGAGCGGACTGTTGAGCAGTACACACGCCCTTTGGTCGATAGTCGGATATCGCGTCTACGCCAGAGACGGCGAAAACTGGCATATGCGAACCTAGCCCTCTGTATTCGTGCTGAAATTTCGTCTGAGATCAACCCGTTGGGGCTGATGGTACTTCCCAAGTAATTGAAGCGGTCAACATGTTCTACCACTTCACTTCCTATTTCTAATCTAGGGGTCGATGAAGTCGAATCCTGCAGCATCATCTTAAATTTTACAGGGGCGAATCGCATACCAAACATACGAAGATTGTTGCTCAGGGTGTTCAGTAGACTCTGCATTTTGTCAGAGTCCTCGCCTAGAAGGACTATATCGTCCGCATATTCTAAGTCAACGAGATTAATCCCTGGTAGCAAGTCAGTCCCTGAATCGCTGAAGTGTGTTAGGGTTAAGTCCATTAGTACGTCTATAATGAAGTTGAATAGGAATGGGCATCCTTGACGGACGCCACTAGTCGTCACCACTTCAGATGACAACTCGCCATAAGCCCTCATCTGGCTGCATGAGTACGAGTAGAGTGCTTTAATAAGTGCAATGTATTTTCTTGGCATTCCCTTTACGGCCAAGCATCGCCAGAGGACCCCCCGGTCGACAGAATCGAATGCCGCCTTTAGGTCAAGAAATATAATGATTGTCGGACGCCGGCGAGTACACCTATGTTCTAGAATCTGTAGAAGGGTGAGGATATGATCAATACACCCTCTACCTGGCCTAAAACCTGCCTGGTTTTCTCGTGTTTGTGTCTCCCGAGCACCACTTAGTCTACGCAGTATTATTGAGCCTAGGATTTTAGATACTATATTAGTCAAGCTAATGCCTCTGTGATTATCACAAGAAGACTTGTCTCCCTTCTTGTATATCGGGATGATCAGTGACTTACACCAACCCGATGGGACTTCCTCTGATTCCCAGATCCTGCCTAGAACCTCAGTTAACGCAGACAGTAAACTGTCTCCACCGTACTTAAATACCTCTGGAGTCAATAAATCAGGTCCCGCTGCTTTGCCTTGCTTGAGATTAGTGACAGCTTTAGTAACCTCAGTTAAGGACGGAGGACCTGTGTCTATCTCCCATTCAGGGAGGTGTTGGATGTCCGGCAGGTTAAGTGTGGCTGTGGGCCAATTAAACTGCTCCTCATAGTGTTCTTTCCAGCGCTCCAGTCGTCTATCCTGGGAGCTAATTATGTTGCCATTTTTCTCGGAGATTGTTTCGCTTATCATTTGCCTTTTACCACCTGTTTCCCTGATGAGTTTGAAGAGTTGTCTGGTGTTGCCTATCGCCGATGCTTTTTCCATCTCTTTCGCCTTTGTCAACCACCACTGTTCACGGTCCTTGCGGAGACTTTTCGTAAGTTTCTTTTTGTGCAGCTTTCGCTCCTCATTGAATTCGGAGTTCGCCGGAATAAGTCTTCTAGCATCTATCAGTTCGGATGAGGCAGTCGAAATCCAATTGTTTTTACTCACCTTTGGATTTACCTTATTCACAGCTTTTACAGCTGTATCTATGGCTGACTGAATATTTTTCCAGGCTTCTTCAGGGTGATCGCAGCTGTCGAACTCAGATATGTGTTTAGCTAGTTCTTCCTCAAATAGGGACTTAGTTTCCTGATCGAGCTGGGGACGTGATGGGTTTACCGCCAGCTGTTTCCTACGTCCGTTCAGTCGTAAGCACACACGAGCACGGACCAGTGCGTGATCGGTATCTACACACGTGTTCCAGAAGGAGCGACAGTCTCCTACCGACCCACGCCAACGATAGCTAATTGCTATGTGGTCTATTTGTGTCCAGCGTTGATTTGATGATGGGGGTCGCCAGGTCAAACAGTGTCTCTCCTTGTGTTTGAAGTTAGTGCTTACAAGATACAAATGATTATCTGAACAGAACTATAGGAGACGGTCACCGTTGTCGGTTCGCTGGCACGGAATTCCGTATGTGCCACCGACATTCTTCTCAGATTGACACAATTTCCCTACTTGAGCATTAAAGTCACCAGCTGAAACGACTATATCTGAGCGTTTAGCCTTTCGCAGCAAACTAGACAGCTTTTGGTAGAACTCATCCTTCGTTTCATCCGAACTGCAGTCAGTGGGGGCGTAGGCGGAGATTACGAAAAGGCATCGGCGAGTAGTGCAGTCCTTTCTCCTTTTCACTGATCCGTTCAGGCGGACAGCACACATTCGGCTATCTACCGGGATCCAGTCAAGTAATGTCTTTTCTGCTCTAGTACTTAAAGCTATCCCAACACCAGCTAATCCTCGTGAGCTAGCTGTGGCATCTCCTGACACCCTCAAGGTGAATTTTGCAGATTCATCCTGTTGGCCAGGTGGGGTTAGGTGAATAACCACACTTGGGTCTTGTATGCGTGTTTCTGAAACACAACATACATCAATGGCTCGGGATGCCAGAGTCTTGGCTAGTGATGCTTGTTGTCCTATTTGGCAAAGTGTCCTAACATTAAATGCTCCTATATAAAATTGGTGGCGTGGTTTTAGGAGACCATCGGTGGTGGCTTTTTGGCTTCCATCGTTATCAGTGCACACAGAGTGAAGAGGAAGTGAAGAGCCAACAAGTAGAGGAGTTGCATTGGTAGAAGGAAGGCAAGATAATAGAGATGAAGATGGATACAAAGATGAGTGAGGATTAGAGAGGTTTCGTGTGCACTTCGGGTTGTGAGGGCGATTGTTACTTCCCGGCTGCCCACACCGTGGAAGTTGGTTGCGTGACCGCAGAGCCCAGGGGACAACTGCTTGAGGCCGGTCACACGTTGCCTGCTTTTGTTTGTTCTTTTTTATTTGGTGTGTCTCAGTAGCGTATTTATCACTTCTGCCCTGTGACACGGCAGCAGAAAGCGCGGTCGTTGTTAATCCGGGCCCCGACCGATCCGGCATGATATTTTGTGATTTATTTGAAGTCAAAGGATTGGATTGGGTAACTGCTTTTAGTCTAACTGCTATCCAAACAACCTTTCTAGCATGGTAGGACCTGCAGGAACATAAGTTCCAGCCAGTATAGCTTGTTGGGTCATTGCAGTGTTCAAGTCCGACCACCACGTCAAGGTAGCAGCTTTCGGTCGGGGAAATGATGTAGGTTATACTTGGTTGTTTGAACCCACTCATTCAGCCTTCAAATCATCATGAACCACATATGGGTAGTTAGAGCTGACTCATCTTTCTGGGTTGTGTCAAGTGGGATATGGTTCTAATGAGCTTGGCTCCAAAAGGACGAGATGTCTGTCTTTTTTAAAATCACTAGTGTTTGATGTAAGTAGTTTCTGAGGTCTCATATCAATCAGTAGTATATACCTCCTTAATGTTTCATTGTGTTTACTTTGTTCATTTTTCTGCAAACAACTGGACTTCTCTCCTCAAAAAAATTGGTGTAACCGACTATCAGTGTTGGTATTCGCTTACGTTCATTTTGATATGCGACCTTCTCCTTTGATCGTTCTCTTCATGCACTTGGTTATGTTGTCCAGTAGTATTGGTTTATTCAGTTGTAAAATCACATTGCACACCAGACCAATATATTTCTATCAACACAGTACTGGTTTCGTTAATATAGGGTACTCAAGATATACGTCTTTTATATGAAGACGTCTAAATCAGTTTTA